GATAGACTAGGTTTACACTAGAGGAAATTGTTCCGGATTCGTGATGAATCCGAAACGTTTTAGTACCGGATTCATTCTGCCGTTTACACGAAAGTGGACGAATCCGAAATAAAAACTTCCCGGTTTGGTCGTGTCTCCGGAGATTTTGAATCCGGAATTTAAAGTGGGAACTTTGAATCCGATAACTTTTGAATCCGGAAAGTTTTGTCGTGTAACCGCTTTTTTTCTCGAATCCGGATATTATTTCCACCTGCAATCTTTTGAGTTTGCGGTGAAACCAAAATGGATCTGGTGCTAACATTGCTGGCGGTCTCCGGTTGCCTAATCTTGTTGCAGGTTCAGGCGATAAATTTTATCATGTGTACCGCAGTATTTCTGAAGAAACGCAAATTATTATTGCAAGGAAGTTTAACGTCAGCCACACTTAATCGCCGACGACGTAGACTGCTTGGCATCTGTCCAACTCAAATTTGCCTCAGTGGCATCTGGATCTACTCTAGCCTTTTTTGGGGGAGGCATTTTCACTTTGTCGATCGAACGACGAAACAACACTGGGCTTGGTAACCATTCCATTTCGAATGTTCCCGGAGTTGTCGTTGTGTGTAAACGGTCAGGAATCCGAATATCCTTTCAGTGTAAACGCCTACGAATCCGAATACTCCAAAATTGATGAATCCGGAAACATTTACGAATCCGGAAAACTCTCCTCTGGTGTAAACCTAGTCCAAGACACCGTTGGTGGTGACAACTGGAACAAATTTATTTCAACACTGGATACCAAGAAATTTACAACTGAACAAAACTAAGCCATGTGGTTGTTGGTCACGTACCAAAAGAACTGAGCAGTTATGTGTGGTATGCTTTGGAACAAGGAGCCAAAATTACAGGAAGCGTTATATCAGTGAAGCCGAAAAGATCGCCACTAATTCAAGCGGGAGGCCTTGAAATACCAATGGTCGTTTCTGTCCCGTGGAGCCATGCGAGAAGTCTGGCGATTTTGAAAGAGACAATAGAGGAAGTCTCATACTCTGTCGAGAAAGACTATGTTGATGATTCGAAATCTATCTTGGCCGAAATCAAAGGAGAAGTTATTGACATCACTTCGGACAACAACAACGATGAAGATGAACTCGAAATATTGTAAACCTTCGCCTTAGCTTTTGTGAAAGATTAAAAATAAAGGGTAAATGGAAAGAATGAAAGCTTGTAGTTAATGTTTTTAAGTGTCAAGAATGTCTGGACAGGTTCAAAAATTGGGGTTAAAATACTGGAAATTAAGAGCGCGGAAATTAACGCTGCACTTAATTAACGTCGCGGAAATTGACGCTCAACAAAAATAACGCGACTTAAATTAACGCGAATTTTAACAATTCGCGTTAAATTCATACAGCTTTAATTTCCTATAAGAGGGTATGCGTTTTCACACCATTACTCCCGGTGGTTTTCGCCGGCAAAGAATTAAGGTGTCTTGTTTCTGTATTGCTTTATTGTTTTTATTGTTTTCGTAATGGATCTTTGTTTTCGTGATGAGTCTTTGTTTTCGTAATGGGTCTTCGTTTTCGTAGGGGGTCTTAGGTCTTCGTTTTCGTAACTACCTCTCCAAAGCCCATTTAACCAAGGATTTCACTTTGCTGAGTTAGTTGCTTTTCAATTAAGAGTATGTTAGCCTGTCTGGACGAAGAGGTTTTAAGAGCACGTGAACACATTTATTTCAACTTTTTCCTCTACCCAATTACGTTCCTTAATTACAAAAAGTCATTCGAACGAGAAAGCAGTACTCTGACCTTCTGGCATTATCATGTCGGCCGCGAGGTCACGTTCAAAGAAAAACGATCCCAATGTTCCCATAAAACGCAGAGAAGAAAAGGTTTTTCGCCAAGAGGAAAAAAAGTCACTCACCTTTATTAATGTGTTCTCTTTTTCAGCGATGAATATTAATTCTTGTTCCTGAACAAAGCGAAAATTAAACGAGGGTAGCGATGCGCGTCTTCTTTTCATAAGAGATTCTATGGCTCGTTGCTACGCAACGATGTTTTTTTTTTTTACCCCCAACCAATATGGCCGCTAAAACCGTAGAAGGAAATCTATTGAATGATTATTATTTTAGAGCGCAGATTACCTTAGAAAATTCTACGATTTGTTCTGCAGACGCCTACATTCAATGAATTCTTCAGCGGCAAAAGAAGAGCCGTACGTCAAAAGGTTGAACTTATTTCTGAAGAAATCGGGGTGCAGGGAGGCAATGACTGAATTTGTGGAAGAAGTCGCCACCCATGTCACCAAAAAAATCGCCACCGATCATTTTAGGGGAAACCCCGTATTTCGAGTTCTTGGAGTGGGAAGCGGTACGGGTGAAACCGACTTGCGAATTCTCACTGGCATTTCCAACGTTTTAGGGCAGTCTCATCAGATGAATATGCCGTCTGTACACTCTGTTATCGTAGAGCCGAGCCAAGAAATGATATCAGAGTATAAGGCAGCGACCACTGCCCTACCGCAACCTCTTGTTAAAAGTTCAGCTGATGTTACGTTCGAATGGTGCGCTATGACCCTAGAGAAGTTTATCGAGTCTTTTCCCAAAGTGGAGAGCTTCAATATCATTCATTTTGTGGCCTCTCTGTACTACATGGATGCTGAATTATCGCTACGAAGCTGCTACCAGAAGCTTTTCCCGGGTGGAGCCATGTTCTGTACTGTGGTCCCTGAAGAATCGTTCTTCCCGCAAATTTCAAAGAAGCTGCACACGAAAGTGGATTTAGGTTCAGCTCAGAAGCTTTACTCAGAAGAAGATGTTGTTGGTATTGCCGCAAGAAACAACTGGAGATACGAGAAATTGTGGAAAGCGCAGTACATCGCAGACATAACTAGCTGTTTTGACGAATTGTCCAAAGAGGGTGGCATTTTACTTGATTTCCTGACCCACCAGGAAGAGTTTCGCACAACAGCAGACAAAATCTCTTATCAAGAGGCGATGAATTTTCTAGATGCTGTGTCCACTACAGATGATAATGGGAGAAAAATAATTCGACCAGAGATGACCGCAGTGGTAATTTACAAATAAGGATTGCTGTTGCAGAATGAGCGTGAATGTTAACCAAACATATGAGTGGTGTGAATTGAAAAAAATTTGTAGCTGATTGAACATTTTCAGGACTCAGTGAAGGACTAAAAAAAATACGGATTAATGATAACCTGAATCACTTCTTTCTGTCTAAAAAAAAATCATTTAATTTCATTTCAGTCAGATTCTCGTGCAGTGATAGTCACTGCAACATCGAGGAAGACATCGATTAAAAAACGAATTAATTTTATCGGTTGGAATTATAACGGCGCACGCCTCCTCTTCAGCATAACGTACGTGAGCAGTGTTGAGTTCCAAATGGAAACCTAAATTTTCCATCGGGGTTTCGATTCCGTTGTCACACCAAGCAATTTTGGGTAATTTCACGTTGTTGTTTTGCAAAACACGGCTAAGAAACATAGGATTTCAAAAACACACGAGCTGTGATATTGCTCTGCCCACAAGATCTTTAGTTTTGCCACGTCTCCCGAGTCGTCACCGTCGCCTTCGTGGTTAGCTGGTTCCTTAATTGTTACTGTTACAGCTTACATTACCTCAACTTCTGCCACGCTACTTTTATAACTTGGATATATCAACAAAGTTGAAGTGGTAAATTGGCCACCGTAACGATTACAAAAGCTGACGTTTCGAGCGTTAGCCCTTCGTCGGAGCGAAGTTTTAGTTGTTTAAATTTCAAACACCTGGAAATTAATATGAGCGAATGTTAGCACCGCATTTACATGAAACGGCAAACCTCAGCTGGCCCTTTAATTTTTCACGTAAAATAGCGTCAACCTTGCTGCGTTAGCTTCGCGTGCCGCTCACTTCATGGTGGATTTGAATGCGCCTTTGTATGACTTCCAAGGAAGAGTTTTGGTGCCTTTTTTCTTCTTTTACTCGGTGAGAGATAAACAGAAGAAAATCTTACGTACACGGCAAAAGTAAATCTGGTTACTTTCAGCTAGAAACTGCAAACGTGAAAAAATGGCGGGAAAACAAGGTCACGTGGTCACTCTTGCCCTTTACGTTTCACGTAAACGCAGTGCAACATCTCGCTAATAGCTCATTCGCTCTCCACGTTTTGTTCTTCTTCTCGTCGTTCTCCTTTTACAAAGTTCCCTGTAAGTGGATTCACAGAAACTTCCAATTTATTCCAAGCTACAGAGTGAACTTGAATCCTCCACACTACACTCGTCTACGCTACAGTTTTGAAACTTCTCAAATGTTACTAATCCTTACCGTACGGATTTTATTTTTTCCGTTGGTTTGCACTCGGTTTTCGAAAGCTTAAAGACGACTTACGGTAATCGCTGTTTACTCGTGGATCAGTTTTAAATTAAGCTTCGAAAGGAATTCGGAACTGCTTTGGTTTGAATTGACTTCGCCCTGTGATTAGTCCAAAGAAATTGCGCTGCCCTCTCAACCTATCAGAGGTTAAAGAAACAACCAATTGCGGCGTGGCCTCTCGCACTTTCCCGCGCTTTAGGCAGTTTGCTTGTCAGTTTTTTTTTCGCTTTCAGTTCTACAGTAATTGGCTCCTTGATATTTCTCTCGTTCGTTGTTATGAAAAGTTTGGCTTTGGTTTCACGTCACTCAAATGGAAAGCGCTATACTACCAATTGGTTAAAAGAACGCCTTATGGTATCCATAGGAGCTCTTGCCAGTGTAATATCAATATTTCAAGGAATTTTCCAGTACTGCTCCTAAACAAACATGATATCCATTTACCTGCCAACTCTCACACATTATGCGTGAGTCTCACGCCCGCGGACCAAAGACGTTTAACTCACGCCTGACTTGGAAATCCGGTTGACTTGTTCCAGTAGTACATTAACAACCAAAATTTAATCCCATATTCCCCTTAATGTTCCAACAAACTGCGCTTAATGTCGCTTCAAATAGCTTCGGACGTGTTAGTCGAAACATCCTTGGCATCGTTCGGAGGTCATCGGTAAATCGTCGGAAGTTGCCGGACACATCTTCGGAAATTCCGGTCATAAGGAGACGAAAATCTCACGCATTCGACTCGGAAAAAGTTGGCAGGTATACATCCACCAGTTCTCATTTCTAAGTTTGAGTTCCTTTGAGATAAAAATCAACAGGAAAAGTTTGCCAAAAATTAGATCGCTGTAACTCAGACTAATCCTGATTTTAACAGTAATGTTTTCCCATAATCAGGCTGGCACAAACATAGAATGAAACTGAGCTAGTATTGCATCTGTAGGGTGTCTGTTAAGTGTTCATTTAGCAATGTACTGTTTTATGATACCACAGAAAATTTTGGATGCACATACTTTTCCCGGAACATCGCTAACCTTTTACACCCTAACATCAGTGTGTGTTTTCTCTATGCATTCCCTAAGATGCTGACAAGGACAATTTAAAAACACAATCAAGAGCTTGTCTAGTTTATTCTCGTGACCTTAATGTGTGACTCAGGGGTGATATTGTAAGGAGAAATTAGATCAGCTAGTAACTCTTTAGAGTCAAAGGGGCGAAATGTTTTGGTAGAAACCATTACAGAATAAGATTGACTCCCTGATTGCTTTGGGAAACAAAACATAATTTTTTTTTTTAATTTGCGTGGAGAAATGATGGCTCTAAAATGAGATCTGAAATTCCCTTTTTACCCCACCAGGAAAGTGAGTTTTGGCAGGGTATATTCTGGACTGAGAAGTGAAATTTCTACCCCCTTCATCAAAACAAATGTGTTTGAACGAATATCAAATGTCAAGTACACAAAGCGATCATTTCCCATATTCTAACCTCAATTTATTTTCGTTTGCAAATACAAATGTAATTATGTCACAGTCTACCAAACGTCTTCGTTCATGCTGTCAGTGTTATCTTTGTCCTATACACAACTTTCTTCAACCTTTCTATAAATCCGAAACACTCCAGCCTTTTCTCTCGAAAAAAGGAAAAATAATGATAAAACCTTGTAAAAAACCAGCCACTGTACGAGTCTATTAGCAAAACATCAACCCTCTGAGACTAAGATTTTTTAATCCTTAACAACCATAGAACTGAGTTGTTTTATGTTAAGTGAAGACGAAACTCGTCAGAGATGCTCACACAAAGAGTATGTAAACATCAAAGCAGACTTTTCCAGCGTTGTCTCCTTCGGTGTAGTTGACTAAATCCTCGCCGAACCACACCCGAAATCCTTTACCTTTGTATATCGAATGAGGACGGGAAGATTTCAGCACAATTTCAGAAGAAAATGAGTTATATCCGGGAATCTTGGACCATTTTCCAATTCTGCGATTGAAACGACGCGGTGGCAAGAGGATGTGATTGCGTGACGTTGTTATGACAACACCAACATACGGTCTTTCATTGGAACGTTCCCCGCAGCCCCAGAATGACCAGTACCTGTTGCTTCTTGTGTCACAGGTAACATAACCGTACAAGTGAACCAGCTTTACGGCGGCTAGTAAACCACGAGAGGGAGCGCTGAATGTGCCGAACTGAGAGTGTTTTGCGCCAAAGCAGACGGGGGAAGTATTTGCCTTTTGCCAGCGGTCTGTGAATGAAAGAAAATACGATGTGAAGTCATTTTTGGAAAAGTTCAAATAGAGAGCGCGTCAATTTGAAGACCAGATGCACTTCGCAAGAAAGCGCCTTTTTACTTCGCGATAAAATGTTTCAGTAGTATCACTCACCGGCTGTACTCTGGATACTTCTCTTCTTCACTGAAGGCACATCGTGAGAAGCGCTTACATGATAAAGGCTTTCCCGTTCACGAGACTCCTTGCTTAAATCAGGAGTCAAATCATTTTTAATATCAACAGAAGTCGTTTTAGGAGCTCTGCTGATAACAAAGACAAAAGCGAAAAGCGACATCAAATGAACATTCATTTTGTCACAGGATAGACGAGACTTGTTCGACGTTCTGCAAAGTCTTCCAATCAGTTGAATGATTCATTTTCCTCCAACGTAGGTTAAACATTATTCTCTGATCATGTTGAGACAAGATTCAAAGCGCCTGTTTACAATTGCATAAATTAAAGCATCTTACAACTTCCTACGGTTGAGATTAACAGTTAAAACAATTGAAAACATGACACCGAACAAAATTTGGAAATCAAGTATAAATTTCGAAGAGGTCCCTTTATTGAGTTCAGTTTACCACTCTATTTTTTTAAAAACCTGCATATTAAAAGTAAGCGGGGAAACCCTTTGTGTTAGATTTTATGTGGTTAATAATCTTGTTGTTAATAATCTTGTTGACCAAGCACGACGGTTGATATTTTTCTCTAATAAGTTAGCCTTCGCGCTCGTTTATCTCGCGACTGTTTACGAAACTTTACTCCGAATACTTTCAGAAGAAAATAATGTTATTGATTTACCCGACTTAATGACAAAAATTTCCTGAAAACTCGGCTTCTTATGTTTGCAATGTAAACTACAGGGGCCCAGACAAGCGACGAGTCTGGTTGTTTATTTGAAATATAAAGGAATGTATGGGAGAATATTAAAGAGTCTTATTATCGTAAACTTATATCATGAAATGTCTGAGTTAAAGCTCAAAATAAATGTAAACCTACCTCACTTGCCGTGTATTGTCGTTTCTGTGGCTCTAAATGGCGAATTTGAGCGATTTGGTGGGGTTTGCGTCGACTGTTACTATAGACGAGTTCAGGCTTGACGTTGCATCTTGGGTAATCAGGACATTGTTAAAAAAAAATGGCGGACGCGCTTCGATGGTTCTTTTGTTTCATGTCCTTTGTTCTAGGTTAGCATGCTCAGTTAGCGTCTCCAACCATTAACTACAATACAAGAAGATACAGAGAGTTTATTTTTACAGTTTTTCTGGCTCAGAACACTAAATTGAGACAATTCTTCATGGCAAACCACCTCGAGGACTTCCTCGAACTCTCGTGCGACGAACTGAAGTTCTATCTTCGACAGAGAGCTATTCCAGTCAGTGGAAATCATTCAGACCTAGCAGCACGTGCTCTGGTTGCGTTTGAACAAAACGTCCCAGTAAAAAATTCTGCTGAAGACTTGGCAAAAGTTTTACAACATGAATACAAAGCACTACTTAAATCGCTTGATATTCAACAAGGTCAACCACTAGTTGAAAAAATTGATTTTGATATAAATTTGTGGAAAGATATCATTGCCAAACTTGTAATTTTTTTCAAAGGTTACGTTCAAAGGGTGCTGTTGGGTCTCAGACCCCTTTGCTTTTGTTTTGTTTGTGAGAAACCATGCCTGGAACCTGAAGAGTTTGACAGTGGAAACAGTGAAGAGAGTATTCAGTGTGAGTCTTGCCAAATCTGGTTACACTGTGTATGTGTCGCCAGAGATGTTAATGAAGACAGCACTTTTATTTGTGTCAGTTTCAATGAAATTGCCCAAGATTCGCAAATCTATAAGGTAATGACAGTATGTAAGGTCATTTTATGGTATTTTGTGTTAATGCACTTAAAGTATTGTTTTTGGCTTTGCATATAATCGTATGGTTTAAGGACTTAAAAATAGCTTAGAACAATATAATATAAAGTGTTTGAAACTGAACATTACCAGGAAGTGACCCATACAGATATACTGCAAAAATAAAAATTGTATCTATTGGTTTCTATACACTATTTATAAAACTCAATACATGCATGGACAGTTCTAGAGTTATACAATACTTCTTTCATTGTTATTTCTGTGTCCACAACAACTCACAGTCAAATCCAAGTTGGAATAATACTCTGCTGAAAAAGTTTTGGCTATCAGTATAAAACATAAGCTATATAGAATATAATACACACTGTTGTCAATAAGAAATTACTTCACAATAAAATATATATGTTATCTTGGTTCAATTTGTTTCATCTTGTTTTCAATCTTTTCAACACAGTGATGTTTGTTTATGTTGACAGTATTATTGTTATTACCCTATTTTTCGTTTTAGTAGTATAAACCATGAAACACTGTAAGTATTCAAGAAAGCTGAAAATGAAGCAATGTGCATGATATTGCAATAGCTATTTCGAGTTATTGAAGTTCTCTATTTACATTTTTTGTACTATAAAGAATAGAATAGTTTTGAAAGTAACTTAGTAACTATACACTGAGAGGTGGTAACAAATTACACAGTCCTGAGCAAAGAACTACAATATCATCAGCAAGTGGTAGCAGGGTGATTGGTAATTCTTTCTTTAAGATCTCAAAGCATTTAATTCTTCGTATTACTTGCTCAACATAGATTCGGACATTGGCTATAAGTGAGGTTTCCCTGACATTTGAAGGTTACCATGTTTTGAGGGAGGTATAGCCAGTGAACATTGGTAAAATGCAAGTAAATCCTTGATTTTGAAACTGCGGTCTACCATAACTTGATCATGAGGCTGTAGGTAGTTAACAAAACCACAGTCTTCAACAATAAATAGGTCACTAGCTCTTCCACCATAAACATCAGATAGGAATGATATTGCACCATTGGGAGTAATGCCAACAAGAAATTTAATGGTGTGATGATGTTTATAAGCAGACCAGCACTGGGCAGCTACTGCCAAATCAGATGGTGTTTCGATGTAGATTTCAGTGCAATCCAGTATAACTCTACACTTAGGGTAGTACTTCTTAAACATATCAGGAAGATTCCTGTGTGTAACTATTCTGTCTGGCAATACTATCAGCCACTTCAGTTCTTTTGCCCGGAACTTGACCCATGTGGTGAATATTGAGCTTGTTACTGATGCTGAAATATCAAATCTAAATACTAGGTCAAAGAGGAACAGACCAAGTCTGAGCTTCATCATGGTAAGCGGAAATTCTTGCTCTAAAGTGAGGGCTCTCACTTGTCTATCAATTTTAAGTTTGGATGTGTCCCCTGTTCTTTTGGGGCCTTTCCAGTAGTGCATCACTGAAGCTTTTCCTTTGACATGGTCGAAGATTAATCGAAAACTCTTAACTGTTAAACCAGTAAAATTATTAACATCGTGTTCACGTGTCAAATGAGCAAATGTTAGGCTTGAATAAGCCTAACAGGGTCCCAATGGTGCATTGGGACCCTGTCTCCTTGTACTTGAGTTCTTTAGTTTCTTTAGTCGATGGGCCTTTTGACGTCCTAGTTGGTAGCTTTCGCTTTCTTGGCGATGACTTGTTCTTGTCGCTAGGCACAAGGAATAGCGTTGGATTCGGAGAAGCGAATGTTGGCTTTCCGTACTCGAAATGGTTGGAGCAAACAGTCTTGTGGTCGCTGGCAACAA